GGGAGAACAATAGCAATTTTCATTCCTTATTTTCTTTTATTTCTATTTTTTAGAAATAAATAAAAACATTAAAATTAGTTTAAAATGCATTTTTGTAACCAGTAAGAAGTAAATTTCCTTGCAGAAATAAGTAATGCTAAACTTACATTTTTCCTACCATGGTACTTTTGTTTTTTGTCTATACTTGCCTTTGATAAATATTATTATTAGCTTCAATTTTAAATATGATTCTTAAATAATAAATTTAAAATTTTCTATAATGAAATACATCATTCCATTTTAATCTCACTAACATAAGAACTTAAAAATAATTTACTTATATTTGAATGTGATATTATTTGTATTTTGCAATAATAAGATTAATATTTATTTATTAACAAATTTATTATCAATATTCACTCATTTCTGTCGTTTTTCATGCCAAAAATGGTAAAATAACGGATGTCATAAAAAATACAACGCACGAATGCTGGAAGGTTAAAGAGATGAAATTAAGATGATAAATGGTAGCAGTGAGTTGGAGTAGCTAAGTTATTTTTGTTAAATGCTTCAAAACATTACAATGCATTTATGCAGATTCTTCATTATTCTATTTCTTTAAATATCTAATAATATCTTTAAATATCAGGGCTCTAAAATTTGGTGGAATAGTAAAATAATGAAAAAAAAAAAAAAAATCCCTCTCCATTACAAAATTAGGAATGTAGAATATAACTATAAAAGCTAACAGGTGTCCTGTATATGCAATTTTTCTCTGCACTAACCGAGATTCCTTCAAACACCTGTTGGTTAAGGAACTATTACCACGGCCAATAACAATGCATTAACTGATACTGTGTTAATGCTGGTCAGGATCACAATTTCCCCCTTTGGGGATTCATGTGTATGATAGGAGGCAGAGCCAAGGCTTAGCATTTTGCCACATGGTGCAATCTCTGTGGGTCCTAAATTCTGCTTTTCAAGTTCTAAAAATTTTATGACCCCTAAATTTTGAAAATCCATTCGTAATTTTTGCTGCTTGGTGCTCCTAAATTCTTACACTCAATGTGGTTATAAATATTGCATTTGTTCTGGCGGTAGTCCCATGAAAGATTAGAATTCTTTTACCTCACCTAAACAAGAAATGAAGCCCCAACGTTGCTCTCTCTATGCGTCATCTTATTAAACTGATAATCTACAATCCAGAAATTTCCAAAATCCAGCATCGCTCAAGTCCATATGATTTTGGATCTTGGACTTCATACTGTATAATAAAATTTATGGATAGCCTGGCAGAAATTTTTTTTCCGAAACCTTTAACATTTTTCTCCAGAATTTTTGTAAGTTTTAGTGGAAAAAATACTAACCCTTAAAATCCCCCTTGTTTGGCCTATTAAGATCCATACTTCATGCACATAAAAATAATGAAAACACCTTGACTGTCCTCTTCTTTTTTCTTCATCCTTCCTTTATCTATTTTCTAAGCAAAGGCTGCGTCAGACAGGTGTAATAATCAATTCTTGAAGAACCATGACATGTGTTAAGCATACCTGGCCCTATATGGTATATCTGACCATTAAGCCAAAGTACTTGAATAGTTTCTTCGATTTTACCAAAGTTCTTTGACTGAGCTGTAAAGCAGAGCTCTGTTCAAGACTGTTCTAATGATGGAAATTTTGAGATTTTCACTATTCGGGGAAAGAGGATTAGATTCTTATGCACTTTGGGCTACACAGGTAATTTGTCTTTCAGAGAACGGAAATTTTCTACATTTATCACCTGTTTTTTTTTTATTCAAAACGCTTTCCAAATTTTACCTTCTTAATGAAAGTTTTACATTCTTTAAGTCTTCTGGAAAATGAAGATGTTCTTTAAAAAATTTATTTATACCTTCACTTTACAATCATACATATTGTGGCAAGAAATGAATGCATTTTCAAAGGTTATTGAACAGTGATTAAATTATATTCCCTTTTCATCTTTTGAGAAGGGTAAAACTTCACATATTCTTTGACCTAACTCTCTTCACTCTAAATCAGTAAAAATTTCTTGTCAAAAATTCATCCATATGAAACATAAAACATTCTGCATTGAAGATGAGCATTATCCAGAAAACACAAAACTGGATATAGCCAAACTGATATCTGTTAATAATACAACTTATTTACAGTTGGTACCAAGTGGAAAATCGACACTCAGTATCTACTTATGAGAAATATTTGGATACAAGGAAAACATTGAGAAAGATTGAGCATGAGGATGTTGAAGTAGCATACTTGCCAACCTATGACACTCAAAAATCAGGAGATTTCTTTAAGAAATCAGGAGATTTTTCACAATGTTAAAGAGACTTTTTAAATGATATAGTTTTTAATAATGAATTAACTTTAAATAGTTACTAATTCTTAAATGCAAGCATCATAAAAATACCCTACACATAAAAAACATTTTTATTACTTGCATCGTTTAAAACAACAACAAAAAAGACACTTTTAATCGGTTTTTCGTACAAACGTTATGAACAGTGGCAGATTTTGCTTTCGTTAAGAAAAAAACTTCATAATTTTGTTCATAGCAATTGCCACGTAGGCCTGCTTTTGCTAACAAATTTTTTTCTAATGTGTCATCACTAATATTAGATCTAAATTTAGTCCTTGTTTTCGCAACAACACTGAAATTCCTCTCACACTCTGCATTACTATGGGGAACTGTCAAGATGGCTAACATAATTCTAGACAGTTCACTATATTTTAAAATTCCACCAGAACCTTTCAGTTTTCCAATTAAACTCCACTGGTAGTAAATACTAGCTGATTTTACAACTTCATCCAAGTTTTCTAATTGTAAACTGCATAATTGCGACTGTAATATTAATCAGTGGCAACATCAAAATCATCATCTTTCATGACTAAATGAAGTAACACAGGAAATCTGTTCAAAAACTACCTTATATCAGAAAAAGATGCATTTGCTAGAGCAGAAACATCAGCAACTTTAGCATGCAAAATCACTTCATCGTTGAATGGAAATTTATGTAGTACGTAATCACATACTTGACAAAAGTAACTTCTAACATGAAGATAAAACTTATTTTTGTCTTCTTCTGAAAGTTCTTCCACTACTTTTCTAGTTGCAGCTCCTATTATCAAATCTTCATCTTTCTTCCAATTTTCTATTTCACCATAAATAAAATTACAAGAATTACAATAGAGCCTTTTATCTTAACTCTCGAAACATTTACTTCTTTAAAAAATGCAGGAGAAGTGGGTTCCATTGATTGAGGATTCTAGATAAGCATTTCTTTAAAGACAGCCAACATGTACACACACGTTTCAAAATTTTACTCATTTCAGTATTATGCAGCTGTTGGGAACTGTTTCAATTTTTCCTTCCTTTTAAAACTCCTTTTAAGATAATAATAAATATCAACAATGTGTTCATCCACATTTATTGGTAAAAAAGCTCCCCCTTTTTCAGCTGCTAAATTTAAGAGGTGACAGGTGCACCTCAAAATCTGCAAATCTGAATTTTCCTTTCTTAAGATGCCTGCAACACAAGTCTTCAAGCCTACCATTACTGGTGCATTATCGGCAGCAAGTGCTAAGCAATTATCCAGAGGAACTGCATTTTTAAAAAAATTTTTAATTATTAGCTGTGCTATATTAAAGCCCGTCGAATGTCATTCTAAAGTGGGGACAGAAAGTAAACTGCACTCAATTTCTGAAGACTCTGGATCAGAGAACTGGAGAACAATGTTTCTGGATACGTATGCTCTCACTCACAAAGCACAAATTCTCATCTGATTTGCAAGGTTTTGTTTTAGATATAATCTAGAGAAAATTCAATTGCTTTTAGATGTCCAAAATCACTTTTTTTTTTTTTTTTTTTTTTGTTCATATAACGAAGTATTAAGCTAAGTTCCATAAAAATCGTGAGAAATTTTAAGAATAAGAAAAAGTCGGGAGAAATATATTGTAAACCGGGTTGTTCGAAAATCGGGAGTTTCCCGCCTAAATCGGGAGCGTTGGCAACTCTGAAGTAGCATTATTTAATCTTCAACATTTGAAAAAAGTTATATCTGCCAATATCTAAACAAATGATTCAGATAAAAGGCACTGAAATTAGCAAACAACATTTCTTCAGAAAAACTATTAGAATCAGATGTCAATAAATGCAGAGGGGTAAGATGACATCTTTCAACAGAATAAAGAAAATGACATTTCTAACACAGATAAATCTAGACTATTCTGCAAGATTAGGCAAAGCCAAATTTTGATATTTAAACAAAAATACATTGGCAGAAAACACTGAAAGTGCTGATCACAGTTCATGTGTATGGAAGTATGAATGACAATAAGCATCATACTAGGGTTTTGATGACTTGTAAAGTTCAAAAACCATGAGAAAGATTTAAAAATTCCTCCTGTTTCCTGTATGGTTAATTGCCGGATGTGGATGATGTTCAAACTGTTTGAAGAAGAGTTCCAACAATGGAACGAGAAACTTATGGCACAAAAGCGAAAGAATCTACCCTTGAATTATAAATATACCACACACACAAATGACAAAAACTTAGAATGGATTAAGCTTGTTTTCTTGCCCCCCTCTAATGCAATGTTGCAATCCACGGACTAAGGCATAATTAGGAACTTCAAATGTTATTACAGAAAGCTGTTCTTTTGTTTACGAGAAGCACAGTCAGTAAGTAAAATCTAAAAGTATCTTGGCAACCAGATGAAAACTATTTAAGGCTGGAGAGAGAGAATCTGCTCTAAGTAGTAGCTGAGTTATTTTGCTCTGGATTGTAGGTTCAGCATAAACTGAGATTATCTCCGGGTTAGCTTTCGCTTTAGGTGTGCTTCACATTGCGTTGTGTTTAACGTTCTTAGTAGTGTGAAGTGTGACTACTGACTGTACTCTCTAATACTGTGAACACCTGTATGAGTATTTCTATGGAAAATTCAAGAACTTTGAAGCATTTCATTTGATAAAAAAATATATTTTATTAGCCTAACGTCAGACCTGTGTGCATTCAATCTATTACAAAACAATATGTAGATTCGAGGGTGAAGATATTGTGATAGAAATTAAAAATGAGAAACGCTGTTTCTGCTATTAAAGTCTCTTCTGATGCTAATGCAAATGCTGAAGAAATGCAACACATGGAAAGTCAATTACCTATAACAGCTAAAGCTGCCATATATGTCGTTATAACATTTTACTCACACAAACGTCAGAATTCAGATGTTAAATAAAAGTGAATGCATTAGCACATTATTCATTTTAGTATTTAAAAATTTTTATGAATAAAATAATTGCTTCTAGATAAGTATTTTAGAGGTAGATGTGATATTTGAGAGAAATATTAACATGACTTAAATGCTTAGTAATATGCTAAGTCAATTATCATGTAAAATTATTAACATATAGTGAACAAATTTAATAATTGTACATAATAGTAATTAAAACTTAATATGATGTTTTTAATTAAGAATTATTATATAGTTCTTTTGGTAGGTGTTGATAATGTTAATCATCAATGAATTTTCATATTTTTTAGTGAAATAACCCATTTTACTTATCAGATTGAGTATAGCAAACCATCTTTCAGTTTCTTGAAGTTCATTATAGTGAGGATTGACTGTATAATAAATGAAATCATACCTAACGGTTTGTAAAGATCACAAAGAAATTTCTGCCATTCTTCATCATCACAGTGTGTATCATACATATCTACAGTTATATCAGGAGCAATAAATGAGGCTTCTATGGCTTCCAGAGGAGTATCATTCAGACATAATTTTGAGCGTGTTCTTAAAGCTATTTTGTCTTCCTCCTGAGATAAGGTAAAAAAAAATAAATAAATAATAATTAGCAAGTAAAAAAGATATGTCACATAGTGAAAAAATAATTACCGTATTTGACGGCGTATAAGACGCACTTTTTTCCCTAAATTTGGGCTCAAAAAAGTTATCTGTGTCTTATACGTGAAGAACACAGGTTAACTTTCAATACTGAATACTATTTTTAGCTCGGATAAAGGTCTAGACACACATAACTTTTTCTACATCTGCCATGAATATTTTGCACATACGTGAAATATCTGTCACCAAAAAGTGCCAAAGCTCGAAGCTGATGTCGAAATTCGAACTGGTTCGATGGTCACATTACGTCTATGGAGCCTTTCCTTCTTTAAATAGACTTTCTTTGACTCGCCAACACAGGTGTCGATATCGGTGCTACTCTGTATAAACGTGTCGGTATCGGTGCTTAAAACTATTTGTTTAAAAAAAATATCCTGGAAAATATGATTACAGGAAACAAGAGATTAAGCTATACAATTCAGTATAAACTAGGAGTGTTAAACTACGCCAATGTGCATGGAAACAGAGCAGCTGCAAGGCATTTCGGTCCACCACCTACCGAAAAAATGATACGACTGCAGGAAGATCAACTGAAGACTGCTAAAAAACAAAAACATAACCTTCGATGCCCAGCTCCATCTTGGCCTGAACTTGAAAATGCCATAAAAATGTGGGTGATAGATAAAAGAAAATCTGGGATAAGTGTTTCAACCAAAATGATAATCAATGAGGCCAACGGATTAGCAGAAAAACATGGGAATTAGAACTTTTCAGGGTCTGAGGGCTGGTGCTACAGGTTCATGAAAAGGCAAGGCTTATCAATGCACACAAAAACAACTATTGCACAGAAAATGCCAGCAGATTATGAAGAAAAAATACTAGCATTTAATAGGTTTGTTATAAACGTACGCAAGAAAACTTCTTCTGACCTCGGTCAAATAGTAAATATGGATGAAAGAGAAAGAATGCACATTTTAAGTTATTGTGCGGACTATTGAAACTTTTTTCCTTGTACGTGGCCTTCTAAATAAGGGTGCGTCTTATATGCCGTCAAATACAGTATTCATACTCTATGATACTTACACATCTCATACAACATGAAAATTTGTAAATAAGGCTTTAAAGATGTGAATGAAAGAAAAAAAAAAAAGACTACTTGAAAACATTTAGAATGTGAAAAAGTATATTTAACACAAGTTTCATCAAACAAATTTAACAAACACTTAGGTAAATACATGCTATAAAGCAGACAGTAAAAATATTTAAATTACTTCACTATTCAAAGGCATATCTGCTTCAGCTATGACAAGACGATTTTCATCTTCATCTTCACCATGTTCTACAATAAGTTCATCTTTAACATGCTCTTCACAGTCTGCTGGAGGGCAGGAAGGAATATCCACTTCACTTGCTTTTGAAGATACAAGTTCTTCGTCACTTGCACACTGAAATGTAATACGTACTATCAGATTTATTTTCTGTCCAACATTTAAATCAACAAAATAATTTTCTATAGCAGTTAAAGGCTTGACAATCTACATTGCCTTCTTAAATTAAATTTAGATTATTCGAGGCAACATGGTTTCAAAATTAAAACAACCGAGTTATGCATATAACTTCTATTACTTTAAAAGATTTTAACAATACCTTAGATACACTAAATGGAGAAAATATTTAAATTATTCTTATGCATTATAATATTAAAAGCAAGCATGTTTACCAAAAGAGTGCATTTTCCCACAATTATCTGCTTACCAAAACAAATATTTTTAATACAATAGTTACAGTATATATTTTCATTAGAATTCTTTTAGAAATAATTATTTGTATTTATTTTTACAAAAGCCTTAACTTTTTTCAGTGAATAGTTCAGCTTTTTACAGATTTGTCTCTTTCATAAACCATATTAACATATAAAAATTAGCAAATATGTGAATGATTAGACTTATTCTAAAAAGGTGAATAAATGAATTAATAAGATAAAAATAGTATGGCAGCAGATCAATACTCAATTTTCAGTAATTATCTGCTTTCAATTTCTAGGTCATTTTCAAGAAACTGTACTGTTCAGAATTTGGATTCTGAACAGCAGTTTCTGATGCAAATTTATTCAATAATTTAGAATTTCAGAACAAAATTTATTGCTTTGAGAGAAGTCAAAATTCACTGGTTTCTTGGTTACTTTTTTCTTATCTTCTTGTCATTTTTCTAGCTCAGGAAGATGAAATTTCTGCTTTATTATGAGAATTAATTGTAGATATGTTCATTACTGCTTATAATGTACATTTGTTTTGTTACTGTTTGCTACAGGTATGTATTTTTATTTCTTACAGAGTTTCTAATAAATTTTAGGTTTGCATATTGAACCCTACATATTTCTTGTATCACTACTATAGATGTATAGTGAAAATTCTCTTAACAAGACTAGTTAGTACAGAGATTCCCATGATGGGCTGCTAGATGGCATTTTAGATAAAGTGACAAAGGGTTTGTTATGTCCTTTTGAGAGAGAGAGTCACAAATCATCAATCATTTAGTTGTTGGACAATGAAAACACTGAAAAAAGGTTTTCTGGGAGTATGTGTAATAGAAAAAAGTCAGAAACCGCAGGACTGGTAAAAAAAAGTGAGGGAATAAAGTATGCACTGAAGTGTCACTGAATTAGGGATAGCAAGCAGGTCAGCAATGAGTTTGGGCTTCCTCTGACCATGATAATTCTGCTTTCTCGACCGTGGGCCCCGGGGTGCATAAGCATATGCCCTGAACAAGTGGTCAGCTTGGGGTCGCAGGACCCCCAGTGTTTAGTCTCCAAGTGAACTTGGTACTCATTTTATCGACCCAAAGGATGGAAATCAAGGGATGAAAGGCTGAGTCGACCTTGCCCAGCCCAGGGTTCGAACCCCTGACCTGTGGTGACACTGTGCGATGCGCTAGGCACTGCGCCACCGGGCCTCTTTTTTATTTACTAATATTTCAATAAAATAGAAAATAACTATTTATTAATGTATATAGTCCATAAATAAAAATATTAACTCAGTTTGTCATTAATTTTTTTGTCAATTCACTTTAATTTCATTTCAAATTTAAACTGTTCAATAAAAATTGGAGTCGGACTCGACATGTTTTTTAGCGACTCCTTTTACCCAAAAATTTACCCGACTCCGACTCCACAGCCCTGGTTACCACACAACAAAGCATAATTTCAATAAGTTTGTGGAAGCATTCTACCGGAATGCCTTGCCAAACATCGGATACAGCTTTTCATAATCCAGGAAAGATCACTAGAGTTGTGTAATGTGGTTTCAGACTTTTCTCCAAACGGAATTTTGTAGGATTAAGTCAGGGCTTCTGTGTAGCCAATTCATGACACAGAAGTCAAAGGAATGCTCATTCAGCCAGGCAGTAGCCAACCGGGACCTGTGACAAGTGCAGTTATGCTGCTGGAATACTCCATTTCCAAGAAAATGACAGGGCAACATAAATGAACAGAGATGATCGCCCAATAACTCTACGTAACGAATCATATCAAGGGAAGTTGGTACAAGTACTAAAGATCCCACACACTGCCACAAGAAAACACCTCAGACCATGATTAAGTTGCCATGGCTTTGTACAGTTCCAACCTGGTATGCAGGATCCATGGCTTCATTATACCGACACCATATTCTGAGCCTCACATTGGTATTAAGTAGTTGAATTCAAGACTTATCACTCCATGCTACTTGTTTCTAGCCCTTTAAAGCACATTTTCTGTGTTTCCATTCTACATGCAGCTGAATGGCATGTATTGAGCAATGGTACTCTTGTGGATTTACAGTTTTCGAAGCACGGTGAAGGGGATGCTGCACGGTCCATTTACTAACTGTCGATATTTTCTTGAGCATGAATTGCCGAGTGTCACAGTCAACACACAAAAGGACACTTTAAGAACATTGCCGAACAGCAAACTGACTCCATTTACTAACTATATGACTGGTGCCGATTCAAATGGATGGTAATCTGAGCTAATGTTTGACTTCACTCGATATGTATAGCACAGATCAGCCAATCACTAGTTTAACCCAAACCCCCTTGTATTCTCGGTATACACTTGACACTGTCGAGCTTGAAAATCCTAGCCCTCTGACAATTTCAGAAACTGAATAGCCCATCCATCGAGCACCTACTATCTGTTCGTGATCGAAGGTGTTAAAATCAGAAGTTTTACATACACTTACAATCAAAACGATTGATTAAGAACAATCACAGTACTTAGCTATATATGCAGTTATCACAACGCCCCCATGTGAGCATGCATGCGGCACAATGCTACAAGATTTGCATAGCCATGTCTAACTCAGTGGCACTTCAGTGTAGTAAATAATGAAGCACTTGAAACAGTGTTTCAAATAAAAAAATCCTGAAAATCCTTGTTTATGTGGGTGGGTATTCTTTGTTTATTTTTTAGGCTTCTTTATTCATTTTTAGCTATGAACCTCAGGCCAATACCTGCAGATAACAAAATTTTCCGCTTCTACAGAATCATCATGATTAACCATGCAATGCGCCTTTATAAGACTTTGATTATTCCAACCTTTAACAGTTCCTGAACAACACACACCCAAGGAGAAAAAAAATCCCTAAACTAATCACACTGATAGACAACATAAGGAATTATCTACTTCCTCACTATGTGCCTTCGTAATGTAATTAGTTATTTTCAGTCTTTCTAGTTATTTTCAGTTTATGCAAAGCAAGCAGTTATTTCAAAATTTTCAGCACATTTCAAAACACAAATAAGTTTTTTAAATTATGTATTTTACTTCAATTTCTATTAGCTTTATATATACATATATTTTATATTGCAACAATTTGTGCAACATTAGCAGTTTTTAATTAATTATTTTCAATTACTGATCAGTAAGTATGTATACGCAACTTTTATTATTCCATTTAAACCTTGAGTAAGGCTGACGAGAAGGGTTGGGACTATTGGCATTGCAGATTTCCTCGAGATGTAGGAATTATAAAACATAAACTGCGTGTATGGTATCACGTAAAGAGAATAATCCTGATAATCATTACAACTAATTAAATTTTTTTACAGCTCCGGAAAATTATATATGTATTGAATTCAATATGAAGAAAGAATTTATCCTACTCTGATTGTGAAAATATTTGTTTTTCACAACCAAAAATACTGTTACCATGTATTCTTTCGAGGGTAATTATTTCACAAGACACACACTTTTACATGCTACTTTTATTATATGTGCAAAATATATAATTATTTGCATACACACTTATATGCACAACTACTCATAACTACAGCTACTCGCATTCCTGTCATTTTCTTATTACTCCGCGTTCTCCAATGCTTGGTGCTGTGCCAACTTTAAGTCCAAATATGATATACCACATCTCTCCCCCTTTATCATAACTGCAGTCAATCTGGGGGACATCGAATTCTACTCGACCAAGGCAAAGGTTGTGGCACTGTAGGATTTTTTGGTAATCTGGTTGTATCAGCAACAGGTCCGGTGGATGGAACATCTGGTACAACCTTGGGCTCGGAGGACGACACAGACTCATCCGCCTGTGGCTATTATCGTTGGATGATTCTGGAACTCCACTCTTATCAGGCTCTTTTGGGAATCACAAGAGCTGGAGGTACACGTATGAACCCCTCATCTATTACGGTTCCTCCATCACGCATCTGATCCGACATATCATCGCCATAGCTGACCATCTACATTTATGGAGTCCATCGTTGGATTGGATGGCTCCAAAACTCCATCGTCTGTCATCTTGGCGATAATTTCTTACTGCCATTCTATCTCCTACTCTAAATCCTCAGTCTGCAAACTCGTAGGTTCCGTTTCGAACTCTGTCTTCCACCCTCCTTTTGAGATCTGGTCTCAAAAAATCTATTTTGTTCGAATTTCCTTCTTCAGCATTAGCATTGCACAGCTCTGTAGAGTAGTTAAATTCGGAGCTTTTCTATATTGCATCAAAAATGTACTGAGTATTTATATCAAAGTTCCTGGATAATTTTGCATTGTTCTTAAAGATTGTTTTACTGTAAACACATACTGTTCAGCCTGCCCATTACTCGATGGTTAAATGGTGCTGTAGTTTTGTGTTTGATTCCGATACTCTGTAGAAATAACTTAAATTCATATGAAGTGAACTGTGGCCCGTTATCCATCACTAACAATATTGGTAATCAAAATCGTGCAAAAAAAGTCCCATAAACATTCTATTGTTTTGAAAGTCGATCTTGATTTCATTGGATAGGCTTCTAGCAATTTTGAGTGAGCATCCATGATTATCAAAAACATATGCTCAAATATAGGTCCTGCATAATCGATGTGAATACGTTCCATTGGAGAGCTTAGGTACTCCCAATGATGAACTTTTACCTTAGGAGGACATATTTTATGTTTTGCACATTCAGTACAGTTTT